CTCTCTCTCTCTCTCTCTCTCTCTCTCTCTCTCTCTCTCTCTCTCTCTCTCGGATGTGCGGGAATGGTGATATTCTGAGATGTACCCTAACGACTATATCCCTTCTGTTTGCAGGAAATGTCAGCTTATCATCTCATGAGACAGAGGCAGACTGACTGTGAACAATGTGCAAAGTTTTACCCTGGATTTGTGACAGATTTTGACTCTAGTTTTGTTACAATGATTGTCAAAACGATCTTATCAGAGACATTTATTCTGTAAACGAAATCCTATTTTCACCTCCCTGTTAATGAGACACAAACAATGGATTCTCTTCGCGGATCGTAAAACCATTTTGGAAATTGCAGTAATCTGTAACAAAGATCGTGTTACAACAAGATAGTTCACTCCTCTCATTGAGCCAATTTAAAAAAGTGTCCTCAAAATTCGATAGCGCCCTCTTCGAAAAATTGCGGACTTGGCGAACAGAGTTACTCTACTAGTGTGAAAAACAATAAAAGTGAAACTAACAAACTGTGCTATTCCTATTCTTCGTCTAAAGAAACGAAAGAGAGCTTCAAAACAAAGACTGCAGCGCCATTCTGAACCAATGCGCGGAATTCCGGGGACAATCTTTGATTGTAGTAAGCTATAAATATAAGGTAATTAATCGAATCATTGGAGGGGGGTGAAAAAAATTCGCGTTCGAACCGAGGCTCGAACCCGGACTTTCCGCTTCAGAGACGAGCGCACTAACTGCTCTGTCACCGCACCCATGGAGTAAGTAAGTAAGTAAGCAAGCAAGCAAGCAAGCAAGCAAGCAAGCAAGCAAGCAAGCAAGCAAGAAAGTAAGTAAGTAAGTAAGTAAGTAAGTAAGTAAGTAAGTAAGTAAGTAAGTAAGCAAGTAAGTAAGTATGTAAGTAAGTAAGTAAGTAAGTAAGTAAGTAAGTCGATAAGGTCGTTCAACCCATACATACCAGCCGCCACTAAAGAGAAACAGTAAGAGCACACCACGCCACAACAAAGCCCTGATCTAACCTGCCACTGGCGTCTGATTACACGAAATTACAGGTTGCCTTGTTCTTCTTCTCTTTCGTCTCTAAGTACCAGATCTGAAACAGACATCAGCGATCACGGTTCGCCGAGCATTTCTCCACTTGATTGCCCTCCGAAAACCTTTCATCTTCTGCGCTTTTCCCGTCACCAACCTGCTAGAGTTTTCTAAGTACGACTGTGGGTGATTGGCGGGTGCTCTGGTGTGGTTTGCTCCTTCTTTCCTACCAAACATCTATCGTCCTTGTCCCCCCCTCCTTCTTTTTTGTGTTTGTTTCTCTCTTGTAACACCTCTAATCTTCGGCACTTATATGACCTTATTGTGTTGCAAGTGCTTATTTCTTCGATTCATTTTATTACAAGCGCCAGATTTCATCACGATGCTTCACTTAATAACTGACTGTGCAACATTCACAGTCGTTTATCAAACTTAACCGATATTTTCTTAACCCTTCATCACGGCTGATAAGAACCTAGTTAAATTCTTCGCCATATCGACAGGCCGAAGGGCTAGAACCCAGATGGCCGCTGGTTAGTTTTAGTTTTAGTAGAGGTTTTACGGCGCTCGCAATTGCATAAGGTCATATGAGCGCCAGAAGATTAGAGGTGTTACAAGAGAGTAACAAACATAAACAAGAAAAAGGGGAGATAAGGACGATAGATGTTTGATAGGAAAGCAGAAGCAAACCAAACCAGAGCACCTGCCAACCACCCAGACGGCCGCTGAATCGGAAAAGCAAAGTAAAGTAAGTTAACCCTTCATAGATTTAATAGAAAAAAAGAAGTTTTAAGCAGGGAAAAAAGGCACTCACCTGTATGTAGTATTTCCCTCTCTGGTAGGCTTGCAGCATGAGAAAGGCGTAGTCCAGATTCTGCTTGGTACGCCATCTGGGACAGGAGAAATAACAAGTTGTATTGGGTTCAAATATTCGTGGCGAAACGTTTGGTTAATAAATATCTCCTTAACTATCGAACCTAGATTCTCCAACATTTGCACGACGACTTATATCAATTCGTCTTATCAGATTATTATTTTTTAAAACACCTGCACACCGTTTTCTAGAAATTTCCTACATAAATACTCATGAAAAATCCCAGTCGATGGTTTTTGCAGATTTTAAAACGTTTACAGATCGGGCAATATCGCTTTTTAAAGCTAGCCCGTAATTTTTTTGTGCTAAACGCAACTCTATGTTCATTGAACGCATGTTTTGAGGACATTTAAGTGCAAAAAATAGGTTGATTATAAAAATCAATTTCTTGCAGGCTAACAAGTTTTGCCACTAAAAAGTATCGTTTCGGAGCTGCGGTGTAGGTCACATGCGTACGCAAAATGTGTGTGAGAAGCGGGAAGTGCTGTGAACAACATCATTTCCCGCCTGACGGAGATTTATAGTATTTTATATAAATTTATAAAGAAAATTGTTGTGGAAAAATATGAATGCGTTAAAACATTTCTAAACCCTTCAACATTCTTTCAGTCTTTTAAAAATTCTTGCTTTTTTTATATTTATGCCATCCGTTTCCGTGCTTTCTTCTTTTCCCCCTTTTTCATCTCTATTGAATAAGTCCACGCCACGTCAACATTTTGTGTTACTGCAAGATAATAATAACAATAATAATAACAATAATAATGATGATGATGCTTATAAAAATAATGATAACGATAATAACAACAATAATAATTAAGCAATCTTCATAGAGCGCTTCATCCCAAGTCAACATTTTTTGTTACTGCTAGATAATAATAATGATAATAATAATAATGATAATAGTAATGATAATAATGATAATGATAATACGATGATATATCTTGGTTCGATATCCTATTCTGTTTCGTTTTGTGTGTTTTTGGTGAGACACCTAGGTCGTTGAGGCGACATGTATGCTTGTGTGGCTGTGAAATCAATGCAGTGGGTGTCAAACTGACGCAAAAATCGTTTAGCAGAAGAAAACGTGGAGGACAAAACAGATTCGGGATGAACCAGATTGTGTTTGTGAGTGCGTGTGTGTGTAAGCTGTAGTGTGTGTGTGTGTGTGTATGTGTGTGTGTGTGTGTGGAAGGGATGTGTGTGTGTGTGTGTGTGTGTGTGTGTGTGTGT